GACATAACCAGAGCGTAGCAGGAGTGATTTGTCACCATTTCCCCATGCTGACCGAATGTTGTTCAAATAATACAAATCGGATATAGCGATGTGAGTTTCTGAATTTGCAATCTAATTGATTCGAAGCAATTTTGAAGTTACGCCGTGATTCTGATTTAAAAAGTATGATGGCAAATTGAGGTGCGTGCGTCAAACGAGACAAGTGAAGATTCGCTCTCTCATAACTATATTTGCTGGCAAATGGATTCAATTCTGTCGCCATGATGTGGTTAGCAATGAGTTTGGTATTTGGAGGCTATCTTTGAGAGTAATCATTGCTTTAGACTGTTTAGAGGAAGATATTTTTGAATAGATAAATTGAAAAGTTTAACAACAATACTTTAAGCTCTGTACAGACTCTCTCGTTATAAATAGTGCGGCGATCGGATGTGTTTGATTCGGGACTGATTCGAAAAAATATTGAAAACTTGAATCTCGATTTCACTGGTGCAATCAAATTTTTGATGCCAGAAATTCGAAATTGATTGGTAAGTTTTCTGCATATTAAAATTGTAGACATGCTGAACATTCTCATCTCCGAGTATTGCACCATACTTGACAACATAATAAATTGCTATTTAAGAAGGTATTCCCGAAGTATGTTAACCAAGATGACGGACACAGGAACGTAGTATGTGTACCAGGCTAGGGTTAGGCCAGAATTTCAGATACAAATACTAAGGGAGTCGCTTGGCTAGTCCCTGAACTCGCAATAGAACTAAAATATATATAGGAAAAATTGGAATCGTTATGAGATGAAATTGATTTTTAACAGTTACAGCTATATTCTATAATTTTTTGCTTTACTCTTTCGCTCTAAAACAAAAGAAAAAGAAACAAGAGAGGACACGGAAGTCAAAACAAAGTAGTACCGGTATGCAATATGTCACAGCGGATTACCGATACCGCAATCTTCCCTACTAAAGTGGACGCCGAACCGCCACAAGGTGCGAGGTCTTTGATGACGTCATCACACAAATCCCATAGAAATTTTAGAAATAAATAAAAGCATATGCCCTCTAGCGAAAAATTCAATCTTCAACAACTGGGAATTTTAAAGCAATTGGTCCAGTAGGTAATGAGAAAAGAGATTTATTCCTAACAATAAGTGAATCGTGTCCACGAATTCAATACAGCAAGGTTTATCTTCACTGTACTACGATATTGTATTCCTATGATCCTACATTACCTTGTGCAAATTTCTATGCTGAACAAGACGAAATTTACTAGCAGAAAGTTTGCCTATTAAGAGTCTTCTTGTTCGGGAGGGAGTTGTAAAACATCTAAGGAAAGTCTTCTCTTTACCACAGAAAAATTTGGGGATCCATGATGTTCCATAACAAGAGGACGGCCTTAGGCCAGTGCAACCTATGCGCCGGCAGTATGGGCTATCCTTGGGATTATATGGGATATCACAGGATGGGATTCGCAGTAATTTAAGATGTAAATTATCAAATTAAAACTTTGTAAATTATAATTGTGTACAAGTCTGCGTGTTTATTCAATACGTAAGATTTTTAATTTAGTTCTTGGTTAAAAGGTACTAAATTATTATGACAAGTAATTACAAATTCTTAATTTTGTGTTGTTATCATTATATCTACCCAGCGTTGGTGGAGCGCAACACTTTTGTCGTGGGGCTCCGCTATAGTTAAAGCTGACTCTGGATAGACTGCGGGGTAACAAATCTTCTTCATACAAACGAACCTTCTTTTTCAGTTGAAAATTATTTAAGGTGTCATGGAATCCAAGTTCAATGGAAACGTTGACATTGTTTTTCAATATATATCTCGTATGCATATGTAAGAAGATTTGGACAGAGCATACTGTTAGAGCAGCGTTTCCCAAACTTTTTCGGCCACGGAACATTTACACTTTTATCTCGCTTGAAAGTGTAAAACTGATAAATAAAATTGTTGTAACGCAGCGGTTCCCGAAGGGTGTTGCCAAATGCGCCACGAAAACTAACAGAATTGTGTTAAACGTAACGAAAATATGATTGAATATTTTACATATTACCTTCAACATAAATGTTTTGTTGTTTCTTAATTTGAATGCTGTGTATATGAATCAACAAATTCATTTTACCTTTCTATGTCGTTTACTTTCCATTACGTAGTGTTTGCCTCTTATGTTACGTCTAATGGAGAAAGACGTACTTGCTGCAATGTCGCGAGCTGCAGTATATTTATCTGCTGAATCAAGTTTAGCGAACATGAGTAATTTTTTCAGCATTTCAAAATAAACCCAGGCAGAAATGGCGGAAGGAGAGTTGACCATTTGCCTTTGTTCTTTAGACCTACATGTTGCCTATAGAAAACTAAACTTGATAATGAACTTAACAGTCAAAAAGCTAGGCCGATGGTTAACGAAAATGCCACTACCCTTCCTCAGTTAGTCCGCTTTAGGTTGACGGGGACGCGATATTGAACGGTCAGTTGGGTGACAACTTCACGATCCCTAGATCGCCATGGCGACCCATTTAGACGTAATTTTGATTTATTTTCCACGGAACACTCGGGAGACGATTGGGAAACGCTGTGTTAGAGCATACTCCGAAATGACAGTGGCGAATTATTCACAAGGGTTCACAACTCTTAGTCGAATCAAAATGGATGAGATTGAAAACGTTGAAGGTGGTTACAAGAAACTTAACGAACTCAAATATATATATCAGTATGGGTTACGCGAGACCAAACTGTTTTTACTTTACAGATTCGCGTTAGTGGATACATATTATATGCGCACAATGTAATGACGCTATAGCGGGGATAAATATGACTATTCTATGTAATAATTCAAGAGTCACAATTCACACAAACGTCACAATAACAAATGTATTTTTGAGATGTTTTGTCTGATCAAAGTCAAGTTTCCTCAGACAAGCGCTTTAAAACAAGCATACACTCGCGTAATATTATACGCGAGGGGTTTTCTGAACTGCTCGTTGCCGCAAGCGATCGTTCTAATATTTTCTCAACGGTTTATACCACTTGTACTATTTCTACCACTTGAACTACTCATAACTCTATTCAGCGTGTAGCACTTGTCGATAATTAGTGCGAACTCGTTTTCGTCATCAGTCTCAGTCGTGTGGATATATATTGGTAGTATTTATCGAGCAGTGGTCAAATTGATAAGTAGTAAGGATTTATATGCTTCCAAAATGTTCAGAAATGTCGCTAGATGGATGGCAATCATTTCAGTTCGATGTCTTTTGAAGCAAGCGAGCTTATCCTGAAATGTAAACACGGGAAAATCATCAACTCCGACAAGAATCGTCCTAATTAGAGCCCAATTACTGGAAAAGAGCTGACATGGTTTCCAAATTAGCTCAATAGGCAAAACAGATTTTGATTTGGATCCCGAGAAGCATGCTAACAATAAATAAATTACCTAATTTCCATACATGCTTTGTTTATAATGATGAATTTCGCAAGCAAATACCAGTGATGCCTCCCAAAACTTTTGACTGTTACCAGTTTCGGAATTACTTTAGCATTGCATTTGTAATCATTAACATCCACCTCAATTCATTCCGTATGCGGCTGTTGTGGTGTAGGATGCTATAGCCGGAGTTTATACATCTTCAATTTTTTCCCCGTGTGGCGCAGCGGCATCATGTGCAAGGGGATTGCTGAAGTGCTTTTCTCAGACACGTATACCCATTGTACTATTTATATCACTTGAGCTGCTCGTATCATTTATTCAACGTGTACCACTTGAACGACATGTCGGTACTAAGTGCGGACTTTTAGTTTAGTTTTTGCTGATCTGTGGTATTCTATCATTTACCTTGGAACACTAAGAGCGGTTGTCCGTATTATTGAGTTCAGTGGTGCATTTGAATCAGCAAGTAGTGAGTTATATGTTTCCAAAATGTTTTCAAATAATGGAAATTCGCAAATCCTGATGAATAAAGGACATTTCTTAGGCTGAAATTAGCTGCCAATATTGTTCGAAGGTTGTTGATAGAGCCCTACCCCAGTTTCACACGCCAACTTACGAAATGAACCTCTCAAAATAAGCATCGAATCTTTCCCCCAGGGTTAAAGGTCGAGTATGCACTCACGCTCCAAGCGTGTACGTTGAAGTTTCAGTGCCTTGTTTCGTGCGAACTAATACATGCATATGGAACTTCAGAACTTTTGAATATCATATTCCAGTATTCCTGTACCGGTATTCGGTGGAATGCTTTTGTTTGCTAGGGCTAGCGACATGCCATGAATGTACCTCGTTTACCTGTTTACAGTTAACTTGTTTTGTATAAATGCAGCAGGCAGGCATTGCTGCAAATAACAGAATAATGCTGCATGTCAATTATGAGCATGTGGTCGTGCACTACCGGTATTTGTAGGCGCAACTAGTCCAGTAGAGTGTTCAGACGCTTTTTTTGTATTGATCACCGCCTTATCCTTTATTTGCATACCGGTCCGTCCTTAAGGCTTATAGTCTATCTGAATAATCAGGTATTACATTTTTGTTTTTTGCTATTTTTCCAAATTTATTCTCCTAAATACTGAAATAATTCTTGCTTTCTTATTGATACATTCATGCGATTGGTGTGTGTGTGTGTAATGAGTTGAGAAATTTGACTTAGTTGAATAGATACAACACATGTTCAGTTCGAATCAAACCAACTCAATTTTCAACTAAGCAGGTAAGCTATGTCTCATGCTGCTTTAAAATGCTGAAATGAACATTTGGGTTGTATTTTTACATCACATTTTTGTTTGGCATTGGGTAAGCAGTTACGGTACGCTGTTGACTTTGCGAGACCCCAGGACTTTATAAAACTGTAAAAATGGAATAAACTCGAAATGGAATAAAAAATGGAATAAACTCGAAATAAAATTGTATTGTATTGTATTGTAACTTATACTTTTTATTGTTTTATACCATATTAATTTAAACATGTAATAAAAACAACTCACCATCATTAAATATGGGATTTACTGTACTATCTGTTGGATTTAAAATTGCTTGTTATATATCTATATGTACAGCTAATACGTAAAGCTTTAGCAAAAATGGATCTGAATAAATTCAATGGTAATGAAGTTTTGCCATCATCGCCTACAGACAGCATTTATCTGGGAGCGGAGTTCGATAGCTTTGATGATTTCGAAGTTGCTTTCAAACAGTGGTGCTTTATGAAGGATTCTAAATATTCTATTCAGCATAGCCAAACGATTACGGACATTAATAGCAGACGCATAAAACGTGACGTGCCATTATACGACTCTAAGTTTCGATATAAAACTGCTCGGTATGTTTGTGTGTGTAGCGGTTCTCCGAGAACAAAATTTCGAATAGGAGACGGAAAGACGATAAGAAGGTGACTTCATTTCACTAGTTTTACTTTGTTTTTCGTCATTGCCTACTCAATATGATTTCACTCAGTAAATAGTTGATCTCTGATATATGGTGCATCGAGCTAAGCATTAGGAATACGCTTGCCGCCGCACCTCTGCTTACCCTGTGTGGGTTTGAATCTCATGCAGGGTTAATCATGTGCCAGAGGGTTGCTGGACTCCTCGCCGTTGTAGAGTGGTTCACTACGCCGCCTCCACCATCAAGTCCATGCATCTGAAAACAAATAACTGGCTAACTAATCCCATATCCGGCATGAACTGATAAGCCGTCTTATCGACTTTTTTCTTCCCCTCTGGATTGATCCTATCCTATGTGTATTGTAGTTGAACTCAGTTCTCTGAACCCTATTCAATCATGCCCAATGAAGGTTTACTGTACAGGTTAGCCATGAATGAGAAATGCAACTTTCACATTTCCTAAGTAAATTTTTGTATATAAATTAAAATAAACTAGACTAATCTGAACTAGAAATCAAGAGGTTTCACTTAGAAAGTTTGTCATATATGGATTAGAGCATCGAAATCTCAAAATTTGATATTTCAGATCAGCAAAGCAGGGATGTCCTTCATTTTTAACAATAACTGTTGACAAATGTCGAATGGATAAACTTGTTGTTATTAAATTGAACAGAACCCATAATCACCGTGGACTCAGTGACGTGTAAGTTTGAGATTTTTTTACTTTCAAGTAGTGAATTAGCAAATCAATTAATAAAGATTTGAAGATGATCTGAAGTTTCGTGTTGTTTTTTTTTGGCCGCCTAAAAGAAATGTAATAGGCATATATATATAAGAGGTTTCTGAACTAAACAAACTCAGGACGCAATCGCTATTAATAATACGAGTCAGGAAGCACGGCACAGATTTTATTTTAGAGTTTTACATTTCATGAACATCTAACCGATGCTACTTGGGTGAAACAGTATGCAATCTATCAGATACAAAAAATACATTGAATTCTATATCATGTTTTCACATTTATTTCCTTTTTTTTCAGGAAATATTGTCTTGATGGAGTCCTTAGCATGAATAGTTTTAACAGATCATTTGATTCAAATATTGACCGATCTTTGACTCTTGGATCAGAAAAGAATATTCCATCGGTATGTATTCAGGGAAGATGTCTCATAATTTTGTGTCCCACTTGCCAAGTTTGGACAACAGTAGATAAGTGGGGGCGTGGGGCGTATATGGGACAAGTGTGTAAAAATTGTGAGACGAAATGGTACAAGTGTCGGATGAGTGAGACAAGTGTTACAAGTGGGAAATGACATTTTTGAGACATCGTCCAAATGGGCTTTTGGTGGATGATTCATTTGGTTTTTCTCTCAGAACAAGCAAGGTTTCTGAAATCATTGAAATAACAGCCTGTTTGGTATAAAAGAATAGTAATTAGACATGGCCAACAATTACAATCTGAATGGGGCCAGCATAGGCTGAGCTTTGAAGATGAAAATACTACATGCTTGGGTCAATGGGCGAACCTAAATTCTTTACCAAAATTTGTTTAATGCCAACGTTGTTAAATTCTAGTTTGTATGAAATATAATTCAAGTACAAATTGATGGAATATTTCCTCAAGACGTAAGATTCTCATATGAATACTCATACAATTTAAACTCACATATAATCGGATGGATTTTCATATTCATTCACAATTTATTTTGAGAGAAAAGGAAATCTGATCATAGGTGTAAATCAGGGGTGTGTAATATTTTTTGTTGGTGGGCGGGGCCATATAACCCATTTCATAAATTTATCTGGGCCATGCAAAAAAATTACTGTAGGATTTTCCATATACACAACAATTTGAAAAATTCTCACAATGCAAAATTTTATATATTTATTATTATCGAGACAGATTAGAGTTCGTGTTACCATTTAGTTGAAAGAAGTTAGAATTTTATATTTTATGAAGAAAAATCTGAGTTCTGACAAGGGCCGCACAAAATGTTTTTTGTGTGTCCCAGTCAAATGTCTGAAGTCAGCTAACAAAAATGTATACCTAACAAAAATATTGTATACCCCTGTATTATATTAATCAATTTTGGCCATCTTTGATGGACAGTAGCTGTGACTAGTTTTTGTTTTTTATTTAGATCAAAGAGGAAAGTGATGTCTTTGGAGCATATTCTACGTCATCATCTGAAGATGCTTTTCACCCCAGAGAAGAAATAACACAACAAAATGAAGTTTTTAACACTGGTTCAAGTACGCCATATAGTAATAATAATCCCGATATAACTTCCCAATTGAGAATAGAAAGGGTGGCACATGGAAAACAAATTTTTGAACGAGAGTCTGAAGAGTTGATTCATTCTTTGAAAAGAAAATATCCAGAAATAAATGACACTGATTTGAATTCTAATTGGACAAGGGGAACACTAGAAACGAACGTGAATCAAGCTCTTAAGTTTGTAGAAGGTAAGGTGAACACCTTTTGAAATCGACTCATTTACTCATAGTCATAGGGTGCTAGAATGTTATGTAATAAATTGTAATTTCTTCTTGTTTACTCCCTACTTCGGATTCGGTTGCCACAAGGATGCTTGAATAAGATAGTATTATATTACAAAAATCAATAAGAATAACTTAATCTCTTTCCACAAAATAGCAAGTCGTTGTTGGTTGTTCGTCAGTGGCCCATAGTGGTCTACAAATTAAAGTTTGATTAAGTAATGCAAATGCATTGTCTGAAATGCAACGGTTGTCAAAGTTATTATAATGAGACAGGATTTGATGGTGATCACAAAAAACAGAACCCAGATCATTTGTATCTTATGCTAGCTTGTTCTCAACCAGTGAGCCATGGCCCCCACTGCTGGGCCACAGGAACATTCTCAAGTGGGCCACAGACCTATTAAAAATTGCTTAGAGTTGTCGATAAAGTTAGTTGAATTTGATGGTAGTAGCAATAGATGATGCAGTTTTTTGTTACTGAGTGGTGATTTTCACTTAATTATTATTAAGCTGAAAGTGTCTATTTTCGCAGAATGAATTCTATGTTTTTCTTGAAGTTTTTCCCTCGCAAGAAAATATTAGTGGGCCACAGAATTTTTGTGCAACGAAAATGGGCCACGAAAAAAAAAGGTTGAGAACCACTAAGTAAATACAATATTACATTTGTGCAAAGCCTCCTAAATTACTGAAACTTCTGGGTACAACGAACAATCATACACAAATTCTACTGAATTAATTGAGAAATTTATGGATTTTGTTTTTTTCTTTATTTGGTGAGGGAAGCCGTTCGATGCATTTAGCTACCTAATAAAGGACCTGAAATCTTGTTAACTTATAATTTAATGACTAAAAACGGCCGCATGTGCTGTTCAAATTTCATAAAATACAAATATAAAGTATTACATACAATTGTATAATAATTACGGTAATTCATTATTACAATATGTCAAACACACAGCGTTCATTTTTGTGTTTCACAGATCAACCAAAACAAGATGAGGAAGATTTATTTTGCCGAGGTCTCGCAATGAAACTCAGAACTCTTGATCCGCTTAAAAGATCACAAATCAAACTTCAAATTCAAATGTTGCTTCATAACATACAGTTTTCAGAATGCCCAGTTTCGTTTGACAACGGAATTAATTTTGGGCTTAATTCTTGATCTTGCTTGGTTGCTGCTCAGAAAAAAACTTGCCCACTGTACAAGGATGTCATATTGGGCATTGACCATGAAATATTTGAAATCTCAGACTACTTAGTAGATCTTGTATTCGAGTGTGTGTAGCATGGCTTAGTTAGTAGCAGGGTGACCAAAACAAACATTTTATTAGTTTTTAAAATTAGTTATATTTGATATATTAAATCCCTATCTTTGAGAATATTTTAAAATCTAATTTCATTCTACTATTTTAAACTGTTGATACTTGGACCAATAGTAGTCATTTTTTGGTAACACTGGAAAAGTGTGTATCAAAAATTGGTTATATTCGATATAGCAAGTCTTTGATTTTAGTGATAGTTTGGAATATTTCAATACTAAATTTTGTTATTTTAACTATTGATACCTAATAACCAGAGACCAATAGTAGAATTTATTCACTTTTTGTCACAGTATAAAAGTGAAAGCCAATGTTTATTTTGACTGCCAGAGAATCTCCCTAATTTGCTCAAGCGCACTCTATCAGCACTGCCATCTTTGTTTCTGATGAATTAATCAGGCAAAGAAAGTCTATATGTCATTCATGGCCTATGAAAACAATATTTGACATTGATGACATAGCCTATAATGTTGACTTGCACAAATTACACCGTTCTAAAACATTTTTGTTCGGAATATTAAATATTTTGGCATCTGCCATCCCTGGTTTGTAGTAGATTTAATCATAACAGATATTTGCAATCAATGTACAATGCGGTGGTACAAGCATGACTTGTTTGAAGCTTTGTTATGAGTAAAGGTACAATTGGACATTTCAAAAATATAAACTTTGTTTTTTAAAATAACCAATATCAGCTTTAACTGTATTAATAAAGGGTGAAACTTGAAAAAGCTGCATTACGCAAATGAGTCTAAATATATTTTTGATAAACATCTAACTTTTTTTTGAAATATTGCTTCTATCTAAGATTAGATAGATACTGGGTAAAACACCAACTCCGCCATAATGTTTCCAATTTCTTTTTTTTTTTGAATTTCAGCATTCTTTTTTCTTGAAACCCTGTTATAGCATTGGCTCACTTGTTACTAATAAGGACTTTTCGTTTCACAATAAAACCTCATTCTAATGAAAGAGTACCTGACCTCTTTAGTGTTCCCAAACTTTATATTTTATTTTACCAATTTCGTTTGCACTGTATTAATTGTAACTAAAATCAGTGTTTTACTGCTTCAATAAACAATCATGTCAAAATTTTTTATCGTTTGATCAGTAAACAAATTGAAGACCATGATTGAAGATATGTAAAATCAGTAAAAGAATTGCATTTTATTCCACATGAATATGAGTTTAAAAATTGAAGAATAATTTAAAATGGAGAATTCAGGCATTTGAGGTACAGATTTTTGATTTTACATTTTATAAAATCAGATATACGAATTAGATTTCATTCAGCACCATTATGAGATTAAAAATTGAAGAATAGTTTAATCGTAGAATTAAGGCATTTGAGGTAAATGTACTTCAGATTTTGATTTCATGAGCTCCACTGGATGCTGTCGCAATGTAGAATGTCGCATTACCACTATACTTATTTGTTATGTAGTTCACTACATCTTGTACATATTTTGCATAAAGGAGAGTGACTGTGCATCCTCCAAAACCACCACCAGTCATTCTGCTTCCAAGGACCCCTTCACATTCTAATGCAGCTGCTACTAGTTCGTCAAGTTCTGCACAGCTTACTTCATAATCATTCTGTAAAGAGTTATGACTTTGCACCATTAGTTTGCCAAACTCAACATAGTTTGATTGTTGAAGGGCTTTCGCTGCTTGTTGCGTTCTTTCTATTTCACCAATAACATGTCTAGCCCGCTTAAAAACAACATCAGACATTGCGTCTTTATTTGTATTTAAGTCTTCCATAGAAGCAGATCTCAAACTTTTCTTTTTCATTATTGCAGCAGCCTCCATGCATTGTCTCTTTCGTGTTGGGTACTCGCTTCCAGTCAGTTCATGACGTATGTTAGAATTGGTGATTAGAACCACAACATTGGGGTCTGACAGGGGAACGTAGATGCCCTGCATAGATTCACAATCTATCAATAATGCTTTCCCTTGTTCAGCCATTGTGGATATAAATTGGTCCATGATACCACATGGCATTCCAGCGTAATCATGCTCAGCTTTCTGGCATGCAAGAGCTTTCTGCTTGAGATCCGTAGCCCTTACACATGTCAAGCTTTCAAGAAATGTATACATGGCAACTTCAAGTGAAGCTGAGCTTGACAAACCCCCTCCTAATGGGACAGAGCTTATGATGACAGCATTAAATGCAGGGAGTGGTTTAAAAGGAAAATTTGCCACGACGCCTTTTACGTAGTTACCCCATTTCGGTTCTCCTGGTTTGAGTTCACTTTCTATTGAAGGAGTGGTAAAAATTATTTGGCGATTACTCCCAACTGCATCTGACAGGGTGTAAACTGTGCATTTGTCGGTGACTGCAGCCTTATTGCCAATGACGACGGTCGTCATGGGCAACGCCATAGGCAAAACAAAGCCATCATTATAATCAGTGTGTTCCCCGATCAAGTTTACTCGACCTGGTGCGCTGGCTATAATTGACGGATTTTCCCCTGGAAATAATTCTTGAAATCCTGATTTTGCTTTTGAAATCAGCTCATTTTCTGTCGGGCAATCCGCAATGGCGTTCATCTTGGGCACTCAAAATTTCCGTTTTGTAAGATTTCCCACTAGAGTTGATAACAGCTGACGGACTTTCCAAAATCCGGATGCGACAAACTCGTAAACAGCTGCAACAAGGCTAAAATCGTTGATGTGAAACTTGTAGGCACGAAACGTAAAAACGGACCTCGCTGTCATTTTAAGATTCAGTTAAAATGTGTGATGTCTTATATAGTTTAGGTTTTAGACTGTTGATTAATTTTGACAATTTCATTCAGACAATTAATAAGTCAGCATGAAACGGCGAGATCAATACAGGCGATAAAATTGTCGGAAAGAACGTGTTGCGGTGTTGGTGGTTGATGAGACTGCTTTTTATCCGCACGGCGTTTTTTCAAAGAAGTGTGCGCCGTGGGATGTCGCATGGTCACCTCTAGAATTTTATTGTACTGTCTTGTACTGTACCAGTATTTGGTTGCGGTTGGGGGTCTTTCGGTTAGATACTGATAATTAACTGAGCGGATATGGACATGTGTTTGTTAATATATTATTATAGATATATAAATAATACGAAACGTACCGGTATGTATACTCTCATACTTATACAAATGTCTATAAGGTACCGGTACCGTATAGATCCGGTATGTCAGTAGTAGATGATAATAATTGGAAAAACTTGTTTTTACGTTTTTTATCTTAAACATAATAATATTGTGATGATGATGATTTTGGAAATTATGAAAAAATGCATGATGACAAATTCTTCCTTTGATGTAGGCTACGGTAATTCTTTTTTATAATATTTTATTTATGTTATTTCATTTCATTATTGGAAAGTAAAAAAAAAAAAAGTCTACAAAACGCTAAAACGATGCATGACAAAACGGAATAGTTTCGGTACCAGGTCTAATTCAGATGTAGTCTATTATTCTGTTATTGGATAGGATTTACATATTCATCCCGGAGTCTGGGAGTGAAGTAAGCCGACAGGTCTAATTCAGATCTGCAAATACTGAAATACATTCATTTTTAATGTAGTCTATTATTCCGTTATTGGATACAGGGATAGGATTTACATAATAATTCTGGAGTCTCGGAGTGAGGAAAGCCGACAGGACCAATGTCGAACCACGGTCGGTTACCAGTTCATACAGGGATGGAATTAGATTATTTATAGTAACCACTTATCAGGTATTGTCAGACGCAGACTGTCTGACTGTATGAGGAGCCCAGAAAACTTTGTGCCTATTTTGAAATACCGATAATTATCCCCATGATGATGGGGTTATAGGTGCAAGGGCATGCATGTTCATAATGCTGTAATGCTTAATGAATAACGAAGTCTGGGATTACTGAATTAGGTGTTTTTAAATATCTGAAACATTTTAAAACAGTCTTGATGCTGCTACTAGTTAAGTAGTTATTTTCATAGGATTCAAATACAGAAATATGAAGAGCTGAATTATTTTTAATCTATTTTCAGATTCAACTAATACTGGAATATAGTATTACTGCGATAACAAAATGTCATCAGAAGTACTTTGTTACAATAAAGGATGTGGAAATAAATTTAATCCAAGTGCTAATGAGGATGAAAATGCTTGTGTCCACCACCCTGGCGTTCCTGTTTTTCACGATGCTTTAAAAGGTTGGAGCTGTTGTAAACGTAGAACAACAGATTTTTCTGATTTTTTGAACATTCCTGGTTGTTCCAAAGGTCGCCATAGCAGCGTAAAACCAGCAGAACCTGTTGCTCCTAAAGTGACATCATCAAAAAATAAAGTGGATGATAAAATTACGCCTGAGCCAGCGAGTGTTACGCCAAAACTTTTACAAACTGAGCCAATTCCAAGACCAAGGGTCTCTGAACCCATGATACCTTTGCCAATTAAAACTACATCATCGCTACAAAAGGCTTTACAAAAATTATCATTGGAAGCAAAAAATGAAGACCCTTCTAAGCAAATTAAAATATGCAAGTTTCTTTCTTGCAGAACTACTTACTCTCCTGGAGTAAGTGAAACATGTATTCATCATCCCGGTGCTCCTGTTTTCCACGAAGGGATGAAATATTGGTCATGTTGTCAGAGAAAAACTAGTGACTTTACTGCGTTTTTAGCGCAAGTAGGGTGTGTCACTGGTACACATGAATGGAAAGTGAAATCATTAGCAGAAGCAGCGCCATGTCGGTACGATTGGCATCAAACTGGATCCATTGTAGTCATTTCTATTTTTGCGAAAATGACTGTGGAAGAAAACTCGTCCGTCAAAGTTAATCAGATCGCAACAGAAATTGATCTAGAATTCGAAGGTGGAAAAGGGAATTTCAAACTTGATCTTGAATTTGATGGAGTTATTGATCCTGCTCAAAGTTTCGTTACGCTATTCGGTACCAAAGTTGAAATATCGCTTAAAAAAGGTGATGCTAGTCACTGGAAAAAGTTGAATATGCCAAAAACTATACAAGAGCCGGAAAAGGATGAAATTGGGCAACCAACGGAAGAAAAGATTAAAGTTAAAATTGAAGATAAGCAAGCAAATGGTGATAAGATAGAACAGGATGAGGATGATAGTGATTTATCTGGAATTGATGATGTTGAATTTGATTGATTATTGATAAAATATTTTTATATCTTTATACAAACTGTTTAGGAAATTTTTGTATATTTGTGAATAATAATTGACGATCTGATGGTGCTTAATTGATTCTGTATTTCAATAGCCTATGGAATTCTCTGTCAATGATGAAATTTGTCGAATATTTTGGTTCTGACAGAAATTTGGAAATTGTGTATATCTATCTTTTTAAAATTAAGTGACAATGCAGTGCAAACAAAGAATTCAAATTGGCACAATGTGTAGTTGGAAAATTTCACCAAAATAACTATCAGAAATTTTTTTTTTTTCATGTCTGACTCATGAATTTATGCTCGAGCTTTGAAAGTATTAGCAAAGTGAAGCTGATTTGAATGTCTGTAAAGTAAACCATATACATTGTATCAAATCAAAGTTGATCCACAGCCGAATCTAAATGGCCCAAAATATTTATTGACTTTTTTAATTAATTTAATATATTCTTACCATACAAAATAATCAATTCTTCTTGAATTCTTTCACCCATGTGTGTTGCGTATCGAGAGAATTATCAGAAATGATGTTATATGTTTTGATAGTACAATACAACTTAATAATTTGTCCAAAAATGGTTGCTCATTGTTCATTGTTGCTCATAATATATAGGCTATATGGGATTTCAAAACTATATTGGGTTTCATAGTCCTTGATAATGTATAATCACTGGTTTTATCTTATGAAGACTTCATAATTAAATGGTATTTCCGAGTACATTTTTCCGCTCAGCATTGACTCATTTTAATCATAATTCTGCACTTTTTTGAGCATTTTGAATATAATCTGTTTATTGAGTATTGACCTGTTTCAGTCTGTTCATTCGGGGTGCCCGTAAAAACAGAACCTAGATTCATTTGGAAATTATTATAAAGAGAACACAACTTTTTTACGATGTGTCCTAGATTCCTAAAAACTTTTGGGTACAATCACACACAAACAGAAGTTCAAGCGTTAAATGAATATTATTCATTTTTGTAGAGGTGATTGAGAATTTTATGGGTTCTTCTTCATGTGGCTCACCCTATACATATGCTTGAAATAATAATTATTTCATGTTCAAGTAATTTACCACTTTGCAGTAATCTTGTTAAAAACACTTCCTAGTTAATTCTTCGTTCCAAGCTATGAGAGATATATTACAATTTTCTCTCATTCTCTTCATGAAACCACGACACTCCAAAATTCCTCATAAAAATCTCCCCTAAATGAATTTATATCTTCCCTAAAAGCAAATTCATATATTTTATCAAAATATGTAGGCTATTGGAGTTGTCCGAGATGTCTATCAAGTCTATGCATCTGAAATGAAAAACTGGTCAATTATTCAAAAACTCAACATGGACTGGTAACCAGATGAGAGGCTGTTGTTCACAATATGATTTAACTGATCTGATCGCCTTCCTTCTTACCTAGAATAAATATGAAATTCCTATCTTTTAGTATCATTACCATTTTTTTTTTTAAATCATAATCATCATTGGGTCCTCCATAACAAATAGTTTGGTATTTCAACTAAAATTCTGCTCTTCTATTAACTTGAATTGTTCGAAGTTTGCAGCTAAATCGTGAATTTTAAAATACCGCAAAAATTAATTGCTGAAAAATATTTGTAAATATGAAAAATTCATAAAATACATTTTTGAATTGCATTAATTTGTATTTCATTTGAACTAGAGTCCAGGTCATCACCAGTTCACATTCATTATATTCCATCCATTTTTTGCATGCAATTATAAATATCAAATTGTGCTTCTTTGACAGTTAATAATACATGAAATCATGCTAAAGACACAGAATCTAATTGGGCTTACTATACGGATATACACTCGAACTATTGCTTCCAACTGTCGTCTGGGAAATATTGCACCAAAAAGGAAAGACATTGAAAATGAACCAGAAATGATTGAAATTAGGACAAATTCAGAAAATGTTGACAAACATGAATTTGAAAATGATTTAAAAAATGAAAAAGATTTGGACTCAAATTTAGCGATTTCAAAAATGCATGAAAATGTCATTTCAAAGCACTCAGACTTGCCTGTTGAGGCTCCAAAAAGTGCTGTTGGGTTCTGGAACAGTGAACGAGGTCTTGCTATCAAAGAATCTGCATTGATTGGAGTGGGGAGAGTTTTACGAATGTATTTCAATAAAGAGCGATATGATAATCTATATGAAGCAGCTCTCGGTGTAGAAAAGAATCTGTGAGTGGTTTGTGATTTATTATCTGTGATATTAGGGACATGAAACCAGGAGTTTTACATAAATAATTTTTGAATTCTATGGGGTAGGAGTTGGGCTTTTCGACTTAAAAGTGTTAGGTTAACAAAGTAGTCTCAACAGACAATTAAGTAAGACCCACATACCAAGTTTTTATCAAAATTTGATTTCATCTGAGCTGAAGCCTGAGTCTATAATTCCCTTCAATCGGAAGTCGGAATTATAAGTCCGGGGTAAATTTATCCTCACTTTATAGCCCTGGGTGAAATAATAAAAAAAAATGGTTGAATCGTTTTTGGAGGTTTTATTATAATTTTGCTTAATACAAGACTGCACCTATATTGGTCCAATTCTTTATATTAGATTGACTTGGTCGTGGACATTTCCCTAATAAATATCTGTATTGAATCATGGCCAATGTGGATTATCTCTATGTATACAGAAAGAATTTATAAATGAGTTTTGAGATTTTGAAAATCTGACCATATAATATTTCTGATTTAAAGGAAAATTTGCATATATGCCTACATTTTATTTTTTTCACAGTCTAATAGTCAAAGAAGAATTACTGGAATCGTTTTGACTTGTTCTTTCTATATTTTCTGCAAAATTTTCGGTGCTCCAGAAGCATGCACACCAAGATGTCACACAACCTGAATTCTAACCGGTACACACATACCGTACTATGTTCAGGTTGTGGGACATCTTGGTGAGCATACTTCTTGAGGTCCAAATTTTCATTATTTTATATTCATATAATTTGATATAAGATTTTTTGTCCCAGCTTATTCAAACTAAATGAAGGAGATGAGGATATACAGCTCAAGCATGGGCCGGAGTGGGCTCTTGGTGACATAGTCTTCAGTCTTGGTGGAGCAGTGAAACTAAGATATGATGATAGATGGGTCGATGATCCTAGATGTCTGAGGTAACTATTTTGGGTGATATCATAACTAATTTTTTTCGCCTACGTTACATCAAGTTGTGTAAAGAGATTGAAACCTATGGGCTGGGTGTATTCACTTGGCTAACATACCTCTTAATAGAACTGAAAAAAGAAAAATCAGAATCAGAAAAAAATTATGCCCTAACCCTAACCTTGTTCACACACTACGGTAGCACTGGTATCATTTTATATTGTAAGATATGTCTCAATCTAATACTAAACTAAAACGCGAGGTCTACCTGCATTTCAGCCCCTGATACTTATCATCAATTTTTATGTACTGTATTTTATTTAGTAGTAAACGCTTAGTTTGTACATATCCAAGGACTGACTTAAATAGATAAATGAACATTTTATTTTATGGTATACAATAGACTGCATTTATTTAGGAATGGACAACCTTGATTAAGTTGAAAGCAGTGATGACAAAATTGAATAATCTATTATTCTGAATAAATATGTTCTAAAATATTTTTTTCAAATATAATTCCTGTCATCTCGTGTATCGAGTTTATTTTGGGGGCTCCCGAAGTATGCGAACCAAGATGGCGGACATCGGAATGTAATATGTGTACTAGGTTAGGGTTAGGCCATAATTTTAGATATAAATACTACGGGAGGCTCTTGGCTAGTCTTCGAACTGATAATAGGACTAAAATAAGGAAAATTGGAAAAAAATTATCGCCTAACCCTAACCTGTTACCCATGTTACGTTTCGATGTCCGCCATCTTGGTTCGCATACTTCGGGAGCACCTTAATTTGTATTTATTTTTTGTATTCATCTATGAATGTTTTTGTCAACAGGACACCAAAGAGAAAAGACTTCCGACTGGAAGGAATCGATCTAAGAAAATCAGCCATAACGTGGAGAGGATTGAGGTTTTTGGAAAAGTCACAATTTGTAAGGTGAGCTACCAATCTTCAGTCGACTTGTTTCTCATGTAAAGGGTGATTGGGCTGCTATGTGCTGCACCATATTATGCCTGGGGTGTCATTCACCTGCAGCCCTGGGACAATGCTCCATAACTTTGCACATTCATCATTGGTTCCACACACTTCACCAGATAGCGTAAATAAAGTATATTACGCTGAACCAACTCTTAGAAATGATAGTTATCATGTGAAATTAATTTGAGTGATTGCTTGGCATGTACCGGTAATTATCGCAATCGAATACCACTTGTTGCAGAAATAGGATGTGTTATTACTGCCTAGCAAAATTCATGGTTAAACCCTGGTTTGATTTTCAATGTAATATTGGTTCAATGCAAAATGGAGATTTCAATTCTCAATGTCAATTTGACTCATATTTATTAATTTCACCGTTGTTTATGAAATCCACTATGACTTGAATTGTGGGTCAATATGGTACTTGATCATCTAGACTCGACTCTGGTAAGCCATAACTCAGGATAACTCATTTGCACTTTCAATACTCAAGTAACCTTTGAGATTGTGGGTTCGATATGTCCTGTGGTCTGAGGCAGTGGTTCGAAATCTTTTTTTTTCTTTTGCCTACTCTGGATCTCTTTCACTGTGCATGGAAACTATGTTTGCCATATTTGTGACTAAAAGAAATCTTTAGCTAGATTTAAGCTCATCTCGCCAATGTATAAATAACTACGTATTTACAATAATATTAATAGAACTGCATTGAATCTGAATTAATAGGCGCTCCAGAAGTGTGTGTACCAATATGAAGGTAACTAATTTTGTTCGCCTGCTTCAAATCAAGCTGTGTGAAAGGACGGAAACCTGTGGGCAGGGGTATATTTACCTGGCTAACACAGACAGTCCCCGAACTCTTAATAGAACTTAACTAAAGAAAATTGGAATAAAATTATGCCTTTACCCTAACCTGGTACACACACTACGGAAGTACTCATCAATGATCTGTATTTTTCCCCCTGTTGAGAAACGCTGGTATCCATCCCATCCTATCCAGTAATAATTATAAAATATATATTCATTGTCTTTCAAGGTACGTCAATGTCGGTGACGCGAAATACTTTGACGATACTTGTATGTCGACTTTGCATCCGACTGCTGATAGTTTAGAATTCCTAGACGTGAGTGGGACAGCAGTGACAGAAAAAGGACTTTCGTATTTAAGAATGTTTCCCAAGCTCAAATATCTGAATTTGAGTCGATTGCATGTAGGTTGTAGTCTTTTATATTTTAAAGCAGGGGTGTGCAAAGTGCGGCTCGCGGGCCAAATGCGGCCCGCGAGGGGAAATCGTGCGGCCCGCGGAGAAGTGCCAATTTTGAAGGGTGTGCGGCCAGCTAAACTAGTTTTTAATTTAGTTTGATCTGTTTCCTTTGCGCTGCAAAGATTATATTCGAGTCCAATTTATTATCTATGTCTATGACTTTACAACGTCGTAACATCGAAGCGAACAACATGATTCACAAAGCTGTCACTTGCCGAGCAGCGAACATATGAAAATACGGAGCAGACGCTAATGAATTTATTACAACGGGCAATTGATGATTAGGCAACTGGAAAGCAGTTTGAAAAAGTTCAATATTAAGAGAAAAATGAGATACAAAAGCTAAATGAGTTTTGGTTCCAGCCTATCAGTTAATTTTGTTTAAATCTAATCTAGAATAAGATTTGACAGCAAAGTATTTGGAAATAAATCTTGGCGTATTTTACTGAAAACATCTCAACCAAGATAACTATCCACACTTGAAAAAAGTCATGGCTTCAAACATGGCACTTTTGGGTTACATATTTTTTTACTAAAATGGACGTTATATCAAATTGCTAGCACTTCTATTTAAGCAAATTTGGATAAAAGTAGTCGGGAAAAGAATCCAGCAGCAAATTTCTCACTGAATATGTTTAAATTGGGTGTGACAATATATTTGAATTATAGTTTCAAGAAATTAATGCGTTTTAACTCATTATTCCTGCAAGAACCCTTTATGATGACAACATGAGTTCAATAACAAAAAGACTCTATTTCGTGCGTGCAACTAATAGAAAGCCCACGTTAAGTGAAGGTGCGCCCCGCGGTTTTACCCAGTTATTGATATTTGGCCCGCCTGCGAAAAAGGTTGCACACCCCTGTTTTAAATGATAACATTGTTTAAGTGTTGGCCAAGGTTATGGATCCAGGGTTCACAAAGAGGGTGTAATGAAGAAACAGGCAATGCCAAACTCGAAAGAGTCTTGGCTTATTATAATACAAGGTGTCCACAAAGTCCCTTTACAATTTAGTTATGAAATCAGTTTTCAATATATATTAACCAGGTTTGTTGTTTTTTATTCAGTAATTGTGTTAGTATTTTTACTTCATTTAATACATTTGTGAGGGCCAATACAATATATGGTATCGATAAATTCCCTTTGCAATATTGGAAAATTTGAGGACTTCATGGACACCCTATATGTTGTAGCTCTTCACTACAATATCATTGGAAGCTTGTAAAAACCTTTTTTTTTAGATTTAAAGGTGTTTAAAAAGCCATAAATTTGTATTATTTTTATAGAAAGCTAAAGATCTGGATCAACTCCTACCTTTTCTGTTTGAAATATTGCCGGAGAATTGTGCGATAATAGCAGATGACGAAACGTCATCTGATATGTACGGTTCACTGATACCTTACAGATCGCCGTACAATCCCAAGAAAGATCAACGCGTCATTGAAGGAAATAAGAACATAGGTAAGAGATTGTCAGCTTTTGTGGGATTCAGGTCTATACCACGCGGAAATCTTCACAAAAACTTCTATATCCATATCAAGCCACCTGACTTCGAGTTTAGGGTTATTTATGAAAAGACCTTTTGTGTTTAATGCTTCGTCATGAATCTACTCACTAGTCACTACATTATTATTACTCAAGCCATGTAAGTTTTACAGCCCTCATGAGCAAATCAGCTGGGTGTGCTTAATTCTGTATCTTCATATTTGGCCTAGGCTGGCTGTTTTGACAATTTGCTTGAAATAGTTTTATTGGATGATTTTATACATATTGAGATAAGTAGCAAAATCGTTGTATGCGGAGTCAAAGAATACTAGTTGGAACACATATATACAATACACAAATGAAAATTGTGTTCTTTTTTGTGTATTCATTTTTGTTGGCTCTATGTAACTTCATGTTTTTAAGCTTCAGTCCAAGAGAGAACTCCATATTTGTACCCTATTTTTGTCTTGGACAATTGTATATCAATGTGGTTGCAGATCGAAAATGCTAAGTTTTGTTAATTTTAATTTTTTTCAGGTGACCTTGTTTCTTATGACAAAGACATGGGAGCAGTAGATTTTTATCGACCAGAAACAATCCACGAATTGTGGATGACACCTAAGATGAGTCAGGAAAGAAAACTCCGAGTATCCATGCAACCAAAATGCGAAAATAATTTGTATCATAGAATGACTCGATATATTTTAAAAGCGCATGATTATAAACCTTTGTTATGAATTATTTTTTGCTAACTTTTTTCAATTAAAATTTCAAACTCCGATGTTTTGTTCGGTCTTCTTGTAGCTTAACCTAAATTTTTTAAGGGACATTCTTTGACTGAAGAAGGCCCCATACTGGCTCGACAGTTGGCAATTTTGGGAATATGCTTGCCATTGCAGCCCTTGACTTTACACATAATCATCCTGCGGGAAATGAATATGTCACCATCGTAGGATGATTTACGTAAGATGTGGTCGTTTGCAACTTCCTACACCATTAGTCCATACAACTTAGACAAATAACTGGCTAACTAATCCTGTACCAGAAATGGTCTGGTAGTTTGTTTGCCGTGGTTTGACATATAGTTGAGCTGTCTTATCTACTTTCTCTTGGGATAAATACGAAAAATACTCTGAGCAGCCTGATGCCTCAGCTGCTACTATTTTTGGAACGGCCGGAATCTATCAAGTATGGCATTGCATGCCCAATTTTTTTAAACCCAAAGTAAGACGGTGATCAATGTATTAAACCTGCAGCATAGGTTTTCTCTAACTACTTAAGCTCTTCGGTTTTCTATATTGGATCAGTATTCCATCTCTTTTTCATTTACCGATTTATTGTATGCTGAAGGGCTAATAATAATAGCATCTGGCACCAGTGTCCTTCCAATTGGGCATACTACTACTCTTCCACTTGGGGGATTGAGAACGAGGAATTCTTATATTCTTTTGGGGAAAGATGATGAGCTAATTTGAGATGATAAATAATAAGCTATCTGAAAACAGCAACCCCAAGGAATCGTTCCAGATTGTAGACCGCTTTCACTTTGGAACCTGACACTACAAGAAAACAGCTGCCTTCCTTTGCTTGCTATTTATAGGGACCAAAACATTGAAGAAATCAACTGGTTAATCTGCAAAATACTGCATTGGATCACAGTCTAAGAAAACACTCTCATCTGCTGTGCTACCTATATTCTGGATGTTGATAGAGTAGATAGAACGCTTTATCATGGTTTCGTTTAAAATTAATAATGTAAAAAAGCGATTCAATTGAACTCTGAGCAGTGGTAAATATACTTGTAAAAGTTTGCTAATAATATTTCAATATAAAATGGGCTATATAGACAACACAACAAAGAGTAGTATAATTACTGGTTTATATGACAAAAAGGAAGATAAGAAATAAAAATTCCTATAGGATTCTTTCATGACAGCTCTGCAGGATCACATATAATATGATAAATTTCCCTCTGGTTCCTTCAACATTTCTCAATGCATTATGAAAAGTAGGTTAAAAAACAACGATTAGACTAATAGTAATGAAGCAGAACATAAATACATTTGAAGTCAATTACAAAATTACTAAACAAAAGAAGAAACAAAAATATTTTGAATGCAACTTGTGGAGATTACAGATCAGATGGTTTGGTTTGAGTTAAAATTTCATCAATTTTTTCCATGAATTTTGCTCGCTCTGATGCACTTTCACGTGTCCAAGCAAGAGGTAGATGCAGAGCTTGAGATTTACGGTCCTGAAAAATAAGACAAGAAAAAAAGGCTAAAATATGAAAGGCACAAATGTCATAAAAAGTAGCAGCCTTCTTGCATATTTAAGTATTGAATAGCTGAGGAGCATAGCGATTTTTCACGACAAAAAGAATTCAGCAACGATCCATATGTACACTTTGTGTCCAACAAGCAATTATATAATGGTTTAAGCAAGTGCATTGAATATATCTGTTTTGTGGCCTATGAAACAAATTATATTTGTTACTCAGTAAAATTTCAAGCAGAAAATAAGAACTGATCACAGCATTTACAGTTTCACATCTGCATTAAAATGATCTCTGTTAGAATTTTATAAACTCACAAAATAGAGTAGACTTTTTTCTAATGCTTTAATCACTAAGCCCAAACAAAAAATTACCTATCCAACTATTTCAATATGAACATCATGGTATTGGCATCCCACAGATGTTTTTAAATCATCAATTAGAAATATTCATGTAAAAGGTTAAAAAATAATCTCAATTTTGTTTTCTCTTACCAGAAAAAATTGGCCACTCTTTTGTTCCAATGCCATATTTGACAAAGCCAGCCAAACAATGGTATCAGCACCTTGTTCAGGCGATCGCAATCTGCTGCCCATCTGTCGATGAAAATCTGGCATTGAGCTTCTAACTGCAGGTGTATCTGCCCATCCTGGGTGCATTGTTGAGAAGTGAACGTCAGGGTGCAGTTTAGCCAGCTCTTCTGTGAGTATAACCTGCAATGTGATGCGGTATCATATAAATAAGCTAAAAGAGTGCCAGAGATAGTTTTTATTAACATAATGAGAGTCATTCTTTTACCTGCTAAACTGACTGCATGTCAGAATCAAAATACATCAATTTATAGTTATACCTACATATAGCTCTTGCAATGCACTTCATCTCTCCAAGTATTATTCGAAAATTGGTGTATAAAGTATAAATGCTTTTCAATATATGAAATAAAGAAATACCTAGTATCTTGCAAAAAGAATGAATTAATTTTGAAAAAATCTGTGCAAATGCTTTCTTTCTTACCTGTTGCCTCTTGTTATGAGCATATGCCAGTTCACCCGAAAAGTTGTGCTCTGATTGTAGATTCTTGACGTTCAATTTTTGTATGTACATCCCACCCGATGATACTGTAATAACTCTTGGTTTGGAAGCTTTTTTTAAAAGAGGCAAAAGTGAAATAGTCAACACATAGGTTCCCATTGTATTTGTGGCAAAATTCATTTCTAAATTATCAGAAGTCATTGTCCTATCATTGACCATACAACCAGCATTGTTTATGAGGGTGTCAAGCTTTTCCTGTTTTGTTGAAAACTCATGAGCAAACTTGTGGACTTCGGAAAGCTTAGACATATCAAGAATATGTACATGTACATCCTGATTTCCACTTGCAGTTACGATTTCATCTTTCGCTTTATCTGCTCTTTCAGAATTCCGACAGACCATGTGAATAGTACCGCCTTTCTTTGCAATTTCTATTGCAGCACTTTTGCCAATTCCACTATTTGAACCAGTTATCATATACGACCGTCCTTTCACATCTACTCCCAAATCTTTTGCATTGAATGACTTCTCCGCAGCAATGTATCCACTTTTTGTGAATTCTCGGAGCCCTTTTACCAAGAAAACACCTTTTTGATAAAGTGACATGTTGATGATTTTAACAAAAACTGAGATAACTTCCAATAACTGAATAATAAAATTGACAAGTTAAATTTTTAATACAAACAAATTTTCAAAATATGCTCAATTTATTTTAGGTTACTATTCAAAATTAATTTTTATATGACTTGATCATATGGTGAACGATCCTGCATGCAATAATGCATAACTACAGACCTGCTTTAGACTGAGTACCGGTACAATAACGTTCTGTTTTAAATACGTACTACGGTACCGGTAATGATTTAATTCGAGAACTGTCTGACAGTATGACTGCATTTTGGTTTTGTCTGTTGTGAGCCGCGACCAACATCTGACATTCTTGCACTCTCAGACTCTACACGCAGACACAGCTGCTATATATGCTAACAACTACCGGTACCCGATAACTTCTGTAGTTTTGTAGTGTTCATCGTTCATCGTGTGTAGTGTTCATCGTTCACTCTCAGACTCTGCACGCAGACACAGCTGCTATATATGCTAACAACTACCGGTACCCGCTAACTTCTGTAGTTTTGTAGTGTTCATCGTGACATTTATAAATAATATATGCGCTCTATTGAACAGTAATAATGACGCATACGCCCTTGCAGCTTTACTTTTCGAACTACGCAGCTCGCCTGTCATCGTTATGCAACAGCAATAAAATATTGTTATGTAACAGCTTTACTCGAGCGTAACATCAGCTGGTGGTTATGAAATATTTATTTTTACCAGGAGTTGAAAGGTTCATCTTCGTGTTTTCGCGACCGGAAATCCGTTCCGCGGAGTACACATAAGTAGTGTAAGCATATTTTAAATACATAATCCTGTTAGAAGCGACATATAATTGACAAAAATAAAATAATGCAGTACAAGATCTACCCAAATAAACGGGGGAGTAACATTTTAGAATTATATTATATCTCCCCACCACTAATTCTATCATCTGTTTTCTTCGAGACATTCCAGTTATATTAGACTATGAAAACCGATATCCATTTACTTATAACTAACACATTTAAAAAAAATGCTAAACATAGATTATTTAAAAATGGAATAACTTGCAAGTCACTAGATTCATAAATTTCATGCTTTCTGGAGTATTTTTGCTATCGACTACGTCAAAAAACATTTGGCGCTATCCTGGGTCCTATTTTAAAAGAAGAGCTTATATTAAAATCATTTTTAAAATCCAAACTAGGTCTTATTTTCAGACTGGTCTTATTTTCGAGAAAACACGGTAGTAGTTTTCCATATTGGTCGCCCAAGACTATCTGGAGTGACATTGGTTCGGGTTCGCACGAGAAATCCGTGCTATGTTAAGAGTAGGGCTGGGCATTTTCGAATACCTGATGATTTCAGAATCGAATCGAATAATTTTTTCGAATCGAATCGAATCTCGAATACTTGGAAAGTATGATAATGTATGTAACTTTCTTATCATTTTAGGTCCTCCAGACACCTAAATTACTGAAAACATAGAATACATCACTGACAATAAAAAAAAAAGTTTTCATCAATACCTCAATGCAGAAAAGAGTCATATGTCAGAATTGTGTTGGAAAAATATGTTTTCAATGAAAAAAAAAATTGAGAAATTTACCTCGACCATTGGCGAAAAGAGTAAAACAAGATGGCGGCGATTCGAAAATTTGCTCTTAACCGATTCGAATAATTTACTATTCGATTCGATTCGAATATTCGATTCGAAATGCCCAGCCCTAGTTAAGAGTGGTTAATTACCTCGACTTCCTTGCAACGAGTAACGAAAAAAACATTTTTCAAAGTTCAATTTTATGCCCAAAAAATTGTCTTGAAATTTTTTTTTTATTCATTTTTTTAAAACAATTCAAGGAGGGCAACGTGTACGCAATGAGGTGATTTATAGACAAAGTTACGAGCGGGCTTTTGGTACACCAAGAGCTACTCACAAACAGTAGACTATAAAATCTATAACGGCGTATAACTATAATTATAATTATGCATTTATGAAAATCTCCATCGATAAAAAAAGATATGTATTTAATTAATACATTTCGTCGGAATTGCTGTAGAATTCTTCGGGAGCTGATTTTCGATGAAATAATGTTAACAACAATTCAATAGTATATACTGTATTCGCACTTAATATCATCACAAGAAACTTTATCTATCAGTCCTCTTACATTTAGTCAGTGGGCGTTTAGGTAAAATTCAGCGATAGAATATCAGAATGGCCGAGGAAATGTCCTTCTGTGAATGGGCAAGTCCGCTCGGTACATCATCATCGATGACGTATTTTCCATTTCCAGCCCAACCTGAAACAAAAGAAAAATTGTTTCAACTTTGAAAGATTATCTGGCATTTCTAGTTGGGCAAGAATCACCAGTTGTTAAAAGTAAGATCGATCGAAACAGTCTCGGATCAAGTAATATTTAATTTCCCTATATTGCAGTCAACACACACAACTTATGGTTTTCAGGCGAATTGTTTGGGATAGATGCCTCATCGAATGAGCAATAACTAACCAGACAACATTAAAAATACCGTACATTAAAAAGCCAAATTTGAGTGGGTCTACTCATTGGGGCATTTTCCTATATATACATAGACATCACTCTCCCACACTTGCAAATAGGCCTACACAACCCAAAACCAATAGATTTGTTATTCGCACATGGATTCCTTTATGTACAGGTGCAAAAAAAAGTCGCAAAATTTGGGTAAAAATTGGCCAATCCGAGCAGCCTAGAAAACAATTTTGATCTTCCGTAAAAAGTCCCCGCCATTAGTGCAAAAATGTGAAGTTTGAGAAAAACACCATCGCCACGTTTTCAAATAACAAATAGTAATTTTCCTGTTGGAGTTAGGGTTAAGAATGATTTCAATTTCCAGCGCTATCTACAATCTTAATCTTAACTGGATAATTAATAATTTTCTTATTTTAAGCGTTGGCAGGTTTTTTTTTTGGCGAGGTCTTTTCACAAAATATCCAACATTTTCAACATCAACGACATTATTTGTAGTGACCCATTAGAGTGTTGCTTGTTTATATTCATGTCAGTATGCTAGACCAGCCATGTGAATCAACCTGTTTGGCTTTGTCTATAATAGTGCAAAGTTGGTGGCAAGTTTGTTTACAGTTGCCTAACAAAATAATTTAATGAACTTCTAATATATTGAAAATATTTGGCCAATTTAAAATGTAAGTGTGTGCAATCTGCATAATTGCGATTTGCGAATTTTTATTTTCGAGGGAACAAATCAACAATCATGTATTTGAATTATCATTCGGGCTGAAGGAAGAATTTGGTACGAATTATAAGTTCTTACCGGCAAAATCTCCACATCGACCGTGTTCTCCTAATTCTGACGATAATCCTCCAATGCAGACATATTCTGGGTCGCTTGATGTCACCCTGACAGAAGTACAGTCAGTCAATAATTAAATTTTCACCGTGCTGGAAATACACTCTGCACGAACATTGGGTAGGTAATATGACTTTTAAGGGAATGGAGAAGCAAAAAAACAATATATACTGGTTATCAAGCAGCACCTGTGGTTACGTCCAATATTGATACAGCGGGAATAGAAAAAATCACAATAAATATATTTAAAACGTTTTACGTCAAAGAACCTAATCTGTTAGAAAGTGAAGAAAAAGACACCGAACACCGGTAAGTAACGGGGTTTTAAGATGAAACCGTGAATTGGAACGGTTATTTCGCGACGTGACTTATTTTTTACAGGTTAAGTGTAAGGTAATAAACACGGAATAATTTTGTTCGAGCTCCAATATCTTCACGAAAACCCAAAGCCGAAAATATTTTTTACATATCAAAAAAGGCATCTGCAAACGCGCTAACGTAATTAAAGCACTATAACTCTGATCGCCGAAAAATATTACGGTAAATGCAAGAAGCATTGAAACCCGTAATTGGACTTGAGAAATTAAACTTAATGACTGCATCTAAACGTAGTTTCTAAATTGTTAAACAACTCGCAGCTTATTTTGTTTTAGTTTCTCATTTCTAATTTTTGCAAAAAGTATACTGGCGCTCCAGAAGCATACGTATCAAAATGGAGGTACGGTAATTAAATTTTTTTCGCCTATTTTACATGTTGTGTAAAGGGACGGATATTCACTTGGTTAACACAAACAGTCCCCGAACGTGTAATAGAACTAAACTAAGGAAAATTAGAATATAATTATGCCCTAATCCTAACCCTAACGTGTGGTACAGGGTATTGGGAGTGCCAATATACTTTTGGTTCAGATTCATCTTTTTGGTTCAGATTTTGGTTCATCTATGAAGAAGATATTTATGTAACGAACAATAAAGTGACTAACTTCACGCCCGGACACATTGCGTTTGGATATCCATTTTTGTTGTAAGCTCGGAATTGTAGGAATCCAGGTTCAACAAATGGTTTGAAGTTTTCGGGAATACTCTTCAGGATTATTGCGGTACTACCTTTATCGAACTCTATAGGTACAACTAGTCCATCTTGCTCTTTATTTTCTGAATTAAAAATAAAAGTTAAGATTCAAAATTTTATGACCAGGTTATCTTTTGTATCGTGCCCACTGACAATAAGTTCCCACTATTCCAGAAATCATGCTGAATTTATAGCTCTATATCAATACAACAACGTGACGTAAGTTTACATTAGAAAACAACATGGGCTTTCAGTCCATGTGGGATACAGGAATAGGTAACAGTTATTTGTTTCAGATGCATTAACTTGGTGGTTGGATGAAGACGTAACCGACCACCGGTTACGTGAACAACCCTACGACATCAAGTAGCCCTCTCACACATAATTAACCCCCACAAAATTTGATCTGCAAACCCGCTTGGGTAATCAGGAGTGCGATGTCGAGCGTATTCCTAACGCTTACCATGATGCGCCAACCGCCAGGTCAGGGAAGGCTTATTTTTTAAAAAGCACAGCCTACCATATCTTAGTTCTTCTATTTAATTATCAGATGTTTCAAAGTGAATTAACCTAAACGACTCCAATCCAACTTGCTTGGATTCCTAACAGCACCCAGTTTTGTGGAGACTCGGGTTTTACCCATATAATTAAACCGTCTTATCGGCTTTCCTCTCCTCTATACCAATTTGAAAATTTTAATTATGGATTGCAATGATTTCGATATACTTACCCGTATTGAATAAATTTGGAATCTCAGACACTGTTCTTAAAATGACATTTGACACTTCGTCCAACTGATCTAAAGTTATGTTGTTACCCGCGGTTCTGAAAATAAGTAAACTAATTATAAAATAATATACTTATTAACCTAATTATTCACCAATATGTAACTATAGCCTATATCAGTATTGAGGAAGCCCGATGAACCATTTATCGAAGTCCTGATTTGACTTGCGTCTAAATTAAATAACTCGGATCTACCCTCGAAAAAACCAACAGTGAAATTTAATTTAGTGATTCACTCGACTCGATAATCGAATGGATCGTGACCCGACTTTCGTAGCTTGAAACGCTTTTTAGACCCATCTAGGCCAGGGCTGGGCAAGGTATTTGGATAAGGGGCCAAAATTTTCGCCCACCTAGACTGGCGGGCCATGTAAGTGTGACGTTAAAAGTTACAGTTTTACAAAAGCATGAGTAGCAAACAATATGTCTCATTCCAAAACTAAATTTAATCGCAATCTCAACAAACTCCTTGAGCCGGATTTGACCCGGGCCGCAGTTTGCCTATGTCAGATTTAGACTCTATAAACCAGGGGTTCCCAAACTTATTTGGCCGTGGGCCAAAATTTCAAGGCGAGGATACTCGCGGGCCAGTAAAGCAGAATGACCAAAAAATCGCGTAAAGGCTGGAGTTTTGAAAATTTTGAAAAATAGGCACCAAAATAGGCTGCAAGATTGATTTTAGATACAACCAGTATCGCAGTTTGTTATGTAATAAAATTCATAAGTATAATAGTTAGGTGATAGAATGAATACCCGAGGAATACCAAACACGACTTTCAAGAAGGATTTGTAACTGATAGCGACTAATGAAGTTACTTGCTCATCTGGAGTACGCCTTCGTATGAACGTCTACTCATATCATAGTCAAGTTTATTTTTTCCATCCAGTAAAAATAAGAAACGAAATTATGAAAAAAGTAAAATTGACACACGTTTTACTGGGAAGGGAAATCGCTGGGAACTGATTATCAGGCAGCGACACCCAAGGTTTGATATCTAATTAAATTTGTAGTTGTGCCATTTATCCGAAAAACGCCTGTTTTCAGTGTCTAGTTTTCGTTTTTGTGACATCTTCAAGCTTCCTTAATATAGGGCGGATACGTGATACCTAAAAGACTGCCGTACGCAATCCTAATACCGGTACGTAAGTTAAGATACCGGTATAATTGAATTGTTACGATATACACGTGCTTAAATTGTGATAATGACGTAACAATTGGCGGCATCTACGACGTAAAAGGATGAACACATTTAAATTTTAAACGTGTTAGTATTTATTCACGATTATAGTTTCACTAATGTTCGGCGGGCCATTTGAAATCGTCTCGCGGGCCGTAATTGGCCCGCGGGCCGCGGTTTGGGAACCCCTGCTATAAACCCACGCCCTTTAGCTGAACAGGCAATTAGAAATTTAAGAACCCCCAAATTTCAAAATTCCTGATTAAACCAACTCGGACCTGCCATAAACTAACCAGCAATGAAATTTAATTTTGTGTTTGACACGATACTATAGGATGGACCATGAATCGACTTGACTCAACGTTTAGTAGAGAATTCCACCTACCCACTAGTACTTATATATTTGTATACAAGAAAGCTCAATGGCCCAGATGACTGAGCTATATTAGAGAATTGTTTACAACATCGTACGGTAAGCGTTTCTGGATATATATATGAGATAATATATAATTGTATGTAAATACGCTCAGTGGCTACAGGATAAATTATTTTAATGTTTCGTTATCAAAACAACCAAGTACGTGTTGCTGGATTATTGCACGGTTTATTATTTGGTACTCCTGAGGCGTGTGTACCAGGTCAGCGTTAGGCCATAATTTTACTCCGATTTTTCTTATTTTAGTTTTATTACGAGTTCGGTGACTGTATGTGTTAGCCAAATAAATATACCTCTTGCCGATAGGTTTCAGTCCCTTTACACAGCTTGATGTAAAGTAAGCGAACAAAATTAGTTACGTTAATATTGGTGCACACACTTCTGGAGCGCCCTTATTTTGATTCTCCGCTTCGTTACCAAAGCAACTAAGTAAGTGTTGATGGATAATGCAATGGTACTCGAGGAACCCTCGCACGGTTCATTATTTAGCAATTAATATTTGTGATGTACGTCGGATAATAAATTTTATAAATTATAATTGTTATTTGTTTTATTTGTATATATTTTCATAGATTAATTTTCATTGGTGCATCGTTGTTTTAAAGTAAGTCATACGATCCAGACATCACTTTGCCTATTTTTTTCTTTCTAAAGTATAAATAATCATAACTTGGCCTTTAATCAGTATTGAATACCAAAACTTCTTTGCCGTATTTAACTTCAGAAAACACTAGTTTCATCAATATTATAATTATATATAGGGCCCAGGGCCCAAAACAAACATGATCCGGCACTGCTTGTTGGTTGTGATAAATTTCTTTTAGAAATATATGAAAGATCAAGTATAGCTAAACAAAGCTCAAATAACTAATTACTTTGCCTACCTTGTCAGCAACATGTATCCCATAATAAAGTTGGACGGGCTTCCACTTACGCGATAACTCGCTTCATATCTTGGTTTGATATACGTATTCTCAAATGTTGTTGGTTTATTCGAGATCCAGTTCTGATAGTTTTAAATAAAATACATACTTGAGAAATAAATTGTTTTTTTTGAAAAGAAATGGCTGAAGCCTGGCTTCCTTGAGTTAATGTCACAGACCATCTTTAATGTCCGTGTTGATGTTGTAATATGTATAGTTTATGAACACATTATGCTATTAGGACCCCCTTTTCAGCGCGTTTTTGGCGGGTCTGGCCACTGTGCTATCATTAGAATTTGCATTTCGAGACTTTGATCACCAACGAGATAATAATATCTTTTTTCCGTAATCTCAGCTATTATCTCAGCTCGGGGCTATATTCACTTGACTAACACAGGCAGTCCCCGAACTCGTAATAGAACTAAAATGAGGAAAGTCGGAATGAAATTATGACCTAACCCTAACCTTGTACACATACTACGGGAGTGTCGAATGATTGGCGCGGAGTTTGCACTCAGACCCTACAAAAAAACGTAAATAACATTGATACAATGACTCACTTTTTCATTAAATATAACAAAATGAAATTCACAAGCTGTTGGATGTGCTTCACTGGAATACTGAACGGCTCGATATTGCAACTCAAAGTCACGGAGCGTGATCTCGTTTCTCAGATGCGATACAATATTGCTACGATGAATGAATGAAGAAATCTGTTTGGAAAGAAATATATACTAGATTAGTAATCAATAATTAGACACTAAGTGGACTTACGGATTGTTTTGTTTATTTGTTGTTGAAAGAAAAAGTTTTTCTTTGGAATTGATGGTCCGATTAATTTCAATTAATTAGTACTTGAAGACAGAAACGTCTCTGGTATGCTATTGTTTTATTTCATCCTAAATTTTGCTGATTCATTAATTTACTAATCCTTACATTAATCCTTACATAGGATTACCATTTCCCAATCAACTTACCTTTGTCTCTACATATGTTATCGCTCCATCATGATTTTTAATCGCACTCAGCATCATAAAAGGTATTAATTCATTCCTAAAGTTGGTTACAATCGTCTCGGATCCGGTAAGTCTGGATAAAAAGGATATTTGATACTGATTTAATCTAGAGTTACCCAATCGGGAAGAAATTTCCAGGGTGGAATTTTATTGTCCTATCAGCCGGATGCCGGAAAAAGGTAGTTTTCAAGAGTCTTGGAAATCTAAAAAGCGATTAAAACTACGAAAAATTGCTTTGTATGATACAGAAAAATGCTTTTTTAAATTTCAACAGGGGGAGTTCCGAGCCGCAACTCCCTCAAATTTCGTGTACGCCCATGGACTATACTCCTACTGCATAAATTTATTTTTAAATTCATGTTAAAGTATATTGTATATCTTGGAGTGAACATACGAAATGATTCAAGAAAATATTGATTAGAAATGTTTGAAAATAAGATAAAAACTTTAAAACCAGAACTGGTATAGCAACATAGCTCTACACACAAAAATGGTCATACTTCATCGTTCTGCCATAAAACACACGGGACACGCCGTCCTCGTTAGTATTCACTGATATCTGCAAACAATAATTTATGATTACATAGGTGCGTAAGTGTTATTTATTCATCACCATGTGAAGATTAAATACATATTAACAAACAGAACCAAAACAATGTTATTCACAGGTGAAGGAAATCACAATAAACCTCCAGAGGTTATCTGTCTGTGACATCATATGAAGTATAACAAACTGTTATTAAAAAGATGACTAATAAACAATATAAACAATGAACAGTATGACAATAAAAAAAAACTACATTAGTCAATTGTTTATAGTGGGGTATCGTTTTTATATTTCGAATGTTGCAAGGCTGTCGCGGGCAGTTTGTTTTCATAGTATATTCAAGGCTGATATAGGCAGAAGCGAGATTCAAAATTATAGGAACGGGTTCTCTTTTGCATCAAACTCACTAACAACGGGTTCCCTAATTTCAGAAAATTTATGTATTTCACTACGTAAGCTACGATAACATGACCGTTTTACATAAATCTAATACATAACTTTTGTCACCAGAAATATAACGGTAGTTGTCATCTACACTGCTCGTAACCCATTTCTAAAGTTTAAAAGATTGGTTCTAAAAGTGAGGTCCGGGTCGCTTAGGGGCCTGCAACGTAATTTTAGGGGAATCGCGAAGCGACTTTGATTGGGATATGTAGGCATGCGCACCTCCCGAAGTAGTGGGTTGATTTTAGAAATTTAAGCTAAGTATTGAGATTAGAAAGTAGTTCGCATAATATGCGTACGCACCGATCTTCCGCTTGTTTTCTGAAATATGCAAAGACAGCAATTCCTGATTCAAATCTATATTGTTGCTACGTCCGATTACCAGTCCATGTTGAGTAGTTGCCAAGTATTGTATTAGATGCATGGACTTAATGATGGAGGAGGAAGTAGTAACCGGCCAGTGATTACGTGAATCACACTATGTCGGCGAAGAGTCCAGCAATTCTCTCATACCTGATTTTTTTTGCCACGCATATGAATCCGCGCGAGATAAACCATGATCCCAATTGTGTTCTATTCGTTTCGCACAATGTTCCAACCAGTGTTTTTTAAGACTTGTTCGGAGTGAACGAGAGAACATCTATTATAAATTTAAATTTCATCACAGAGTTCAAAGTTTATGTTCTCACCTGGTTCCCGTAGGAGTAGAACAAACCAGGATCGAACAGTTGGATAATACTATTTGAAAGATCGTACATGTACCAGTTTGGAATTTGCATTCTAATTTCAAAGAATTTCTGGAACAGAGACTCTTTCACAATGGCCGTAGTGCTGGACATATGTTTTTGCCTCTCCTGGTATTCTGAAAAGATTGATTAATATACCGTATTTGCTCGTTTTGTAGCCCGGTCCCATATTTTTTTCAACCAACTTACTAACCGGGCTCTTATTCAAGCACGGGCGCTTGTTATTTTCGATCGTTACAATAATAATTAATATATTGTTATTTCCAGTTCTCAAGTATGATTTAAACGAGAATAACGAAAATTTTGACTTTTCTACGCACCGCAGATACAAATTCCCCGTAGAAGAAAAGTTTTGCGACGCCCTATCAATATTGAAACGACGCACTTGGGCGTCGCGACGCCCAGTTTGAGAACCATAGTGTTACGTAATCAATGCTATCTGGAATGTACTTGGACGCCTAAGACGTCAGTGTTATCTACCGGCGCTTAAAATTCAACAGCGTTGTGACAAAAGCGCTTCTTATTTCCTATTGTTCCCTACCACCAAAAATCAGCTTTTACATCGGGCGGATATTCAAGCACAGGCCCTTATTTATTTTTATGTTCTGTTCACACGGGCGGCTATTCAAACGGGCCCTTAATCAAGATCGGGCGGTAAAACGAGCATATACGGTATGTAGCACGGAATTAAAAATTTTACTTAAACATACTAATAACACGCAGTGTCATTCCAGATAACCAAACTTACAGCTGTAGCACTGCATGTCCAGGGGCGTAGGCAATAATTTTTAATGGGAGTTTCTGATTTGTAATTGCCAAGTTGTACCGAAACAGCTAGCGGGGTTTTCAAAAGAACCCAAAACAATCTAGAACTTAAAAGAAATGAAAATGTATCGAAAAAGAAATAAGTGAGCAAGCATTCTATTCCTGATCTCGTCTGACCTTTAAACTTTCTGCTTTTCTAGCAACCACGCTGCAAGAACATTACGCACTTCACATATGTTTATTACATAACTTTTGAAACCACACACACACACATATATGTATAACGGTAACCGTACATTTGAACCCATGTGCATATCCGCGGGTTCGATCTATATGCGGGTGCTAAAACCCATGGGTTAGGGTTAGTATGGGTTCAAATATCCGTAAAACTAAAAAAATTTCCATAGGTGCAATAGTATGCAGGTGCAACCTAACTGGATACTTACTAATTTTCTTATTTTAAGCGTTGACCGGAGGTGCTTTTGGCGAGGGGCTTTTATACAAAACATCCAACTCAGGAATAGAAAAAGAGTATTCGAGCGTATAGGCGCTTAGTATAGCAAACCTCTGGGAAATAAGGACATTCTATCATTATTCATAAAATAAATAAAAACTTACCTGGTTTACGCTGAAGCGGATAATTTTTTTCAAACATTGCTTTTAAGTTCCCTCCGTGTTTTTGTAAGAAATGGTTTGTTGTTCTGTAGCGTAGTGTTGACTTCACTTTCAAATTTTCATCAGATGTCTCAGTAGAAACGTGCCATATCATTATGTTTTTGGCCTGTAAAGCAAAGATGAGGTCAATTATTTTCTTTGGATTTGTTCTTGTTTTGGACACCACAGATGGCGGACGACTAGCGTTATATTTGGCTTTCAAAAGTTACGATCAGACATATGCGAAGCGTGACGCGTTAATGCAGCTTACATAGTGACATACATATTATACAGGGTGTTCATAAAGTTTCTTTACAATTTCGATTTTGTTATTAAGTCAGTTCTCAATATATCTTAACCAGGTTTGTTGTTTTTTAGTAAATAATTGTTCAAGTATAGCACTTCGTTTAATACATCTGTGCGAGCCCAAGCAATATATATATGATATCGATAAACTTCCTTTGTAATTTTAAATATTTTCAAGATTTTATGGACACCTCATATATTTTCTGATTGAGGGAAAGTGGTGTTAGTGAATTTGATATAGACCAGAAAACGTTCTTTGAATTTCCAATCCCACTGCTACTTGTAACATTGGATTTTCTTACATTCAGATTGTAGTAAGCAGAATTCTTGTAATCGTCATCTGTAGCATTCCGAGCTTTTCCAAATACTTTTTCATTTTCCCAGTTGGTTGGTTCTGGGAATTATGAACATTGTTGTGATTATTCATCAGAAATTGTGAGGTATTTTAAACACCGTTTCAGTGCTTTTACGTATTTGTTTGTTACCGGCAACGCAAATAGGCTGAAATTCGCTCTGGTCTGAACTTTGAGTTAAAACTTTTGATCGGAAAGTACTGTGTATTTATTCATACTATGATTGTCATATGAAGGCAAATTACTTTGAAAATATTCCGACGAAGTAAACTTAGCCCAAAGATCTTTTGAGTCGCATTTCTTTCTGATATCTGATTCGTGAATGCTCGCTACAAGAGTCCAACCGCCCCCGTCTGTTTCCATGTCGCAGTAAGTCTTTGAAATAAACAAATATCGGGAATTTATTCACTGGGAAATATTTGGACAATGAATCACAATTATCGATATACGAATGGAGAGCAAAATAATTTTAAATTTTTTTTCGTAATTAATTGATTTATTTACGTCTGACATTTGAAATAAGCGTACATAACAAAAGGACAATGCACACATGCATGAATACAAAGATACCGTTACAGTATGAGGTTATAGGTTGGGCAGGACTCGAATTCAATCAGCGGAAATCCGCTTTATGGCGCATTTTTTTAAAACCACCATGATTTAAGAAAACAGAATAGCCGTTTGACGATAAATTCCCCACTTTTAGTTGAAGCCTTATTTTGAGCCAACTGGTATAAAAATGTAAAAAAGGTTATCTTTCATCATAAATTTGGGTTAAATAGCGATCTGTTCGTGTCGAATTTTAGGTATCGCTATTGTATCATGTATTTTGCTTTAAAACAGAAATAATAAAATTAGTGCAAAACATAAATCTCACGATTTCGAAAGAATACATAAAATCAGAGAAGCGGCGCGCTTGCATAACAATGCCAACTTTAACAGAGGTCGCGGAAAATTTTATTATATTGAAAGGGGTTATGGGATTAAAAGTTTGATAATCCATGCTACACTATATTCAATGCTAGTAACAAAACATCTTCAAACACGATCATAATACCTCATATTTTTCGAATTTACTTTCAAGTTTTATAAAATAAAAACCATCCGATGTCTTCCCTTGATCTCGCAAATCTTTGCACGATTTTGCGTCATCGAAATCCGTCTGGGAAAGAATATAGATATCATTTTTATGAGGCGTTTCCATGTCTTCGCTTTAAACAAATTTCTGTTCAAGCAACCAATGATTTGTATAGAGCTGACATGAGCAAATTACGGCCCGCGGGCCAAATCCGACAAGCTGGGTATTTTAATCTGGCCCACCTGATGCATGCACAACCAAACTAAATCCATATTTTGATATTTTAGCTGAAAAAAATGCCCAAGAAATTTGTTAAAATTGCAATTAAATGTAGTTTTAGTACGAAGCCCATTATTTTCCACTTTTGTGCTTTTGTAGCACTGTAAATATAGTACATGAATGTAACATTTTACGGCATACTTATATGGCCCGTTAGTCTAGATGGGCAAACATTTTCCCATCGTTCGAAAGCCCATCCCTGTTTTAAAGCTACTTTTCTTGAATGGGTTGGAATCTTTTCGGTTCAACACTATCCAATTTAAATAAGGGGAGGATCATTCGACTCCAAATTCGTTTGACGTCAACAGCTGACCTAGTTTCCCTTGTGGTAGTTGAGTACAGCGTTCCTACCAGCAGCCATCGCAACCACATATTTTCCGCAACCAATTTAAATACAAAGACAAGCAGGTATGGTAGTGAAAGAATTCAAAAGGTATAGTAATGATGAATGGATGTCGTGAGTGGTGTGCCATTTTTATTACAAATCGAGCAATTAAACAAATTTACGGAATCATTTCCAAATTTGAAATGTTCCGGAAAATCTTGCGACCGTTAGGTTGAATCCTCTTTGCCTTTCTAATAGTGTTTCTCGTACTTCAGGGTACACCCATCAACCGTTAAAATCTACGTGTATCCGGATGTAGCTTTTGTTGTGTCAATGATCACTTGCAAAGCTCTATTATGCATTGGCTTTTATGTGAGAAATCGCTTGAATCTTGATTTTACAACTTATGAGTATAATTCTCAAAGCATGGACACACACTTAGTCAGGAAGAAAACAAATACTCAACTCCAAGCAAAGTCAAGGGTGACCACTGAAAGGCCAACAGTTGCTGGATTTTAATAAATATGATGATGAATTATGTACCGAAAATTTCGGTTGTGGTGAGACAAATAGACGTTTAGGTTTACATAAGAACACCGCTGATGGGATTCTAAATTACAAAAAGGAGTTCTCTTCTGTATCGAACTCGCCAACAACAGATCTTCTCATTTATTAAAATGTATGTACGTCACGGGTAGGGCTGGGCATTTCGAATCGAATATTCGAATCGAATCGAATAGTAAATTATTCGAATCGGTTAAGAGCAAATTTTCGAATCGCCGCCATCTTGTTTTACTCTTTTCGCCAATGGTCGAGGTAAATTTCTCAATTTTTTTTTTCATTGAAAACATATTTTTCCAACACAATTCTGACATATGACTCTTTTCTGCATTGAGGTATTGATGAAAACTTTTTTTTTTATTGTCAGTGATGTATTCTATGTTTTCAGTAATTTAGGTGTCTGGAGGACCTAAAATGATAAGAAAGTTACATACATTATCATACTTTCCAAGTATTCGAGATTCGATTCGATTCGAAAAAATTATTCGATTCGATTCTGAAATCATCAGGTATTCGAAAATGCCCAGCCCTAGTCACGGGTCAAGAACGGGTTTGCTGACTATCATTACGTTTAATAGCGCTCCAGAAGTATGTGTATCAATATGGAGGTAACTAATTTTGTTCGCCTATTTTACATCAAGTTGTGTAAAGGGACTGAGACTTAAAGGCAGGGGGTATATTCACTTGATCAACACAGACAGTTCCCAAATTCGTAAAAGAACTAAAATGAGGAAAATCGGAATAAAAT